GCTGGTTTCTGTCCCTTGGTGGGTGAGGCCCCCAATCTGCGCCACACTGGGAACTGCCTGTCTCCTGTGATGTGCAGAGGAACCTTTGTGGCTGGGCTCTCAGTGGGCTGCACAATGCCCTGATCTGTGTTGTGTTCCCCTGATAAAGGAGTCATGCCCCATGGGCAGAGCACAGACTCCTCCAGGCAAGTATGCCATGTAATCCCTTCCCTGGGACCACACCCAGCCCACTGAAGTTTAAGAAGAAATGAATAGGGAACCTTTTTTTTTCACCTTAAACCAGTGTGTGTGATTAGAGAAAGTGAATATTCACACCTGTGCTTCTCAAGTTCAACATCCAGGCCTCAGCAGCCATGAAGATAAGCCGCAGGCACTGCTTTTAGCTAACTAGAGTAAACTCTGTATACATTCCAGACCCAGCCTCTCTGGCTTTACATTCAGCAAGGCTGGGTTCACAGTCACTGTGCATATAGCCACCAGCAGCAGCACAAGGACACAGTGCTCTGCCCTTGCCATACCCATATATGTGTGCGTTTGTGCACCTGCGTGCATATTGCATAAGTCCTGGAGAAGTTTCTCGCAAAAGTATTTTATAGGCTTCAGGCAACATGAAGACCACTTATTGCATTTCTTCCTATCCTAGGATTGCAGTACTGATTGGCTCTGTGCATTACGAGATCTTCCTTCCTCTTCAAAGAGTACCTCACTTGATGCGCAGAAGTCTCCTTGGCTGGTGGCCAACTCAGGAAGTCCAGCCTCATAAAAGCAATATGAGATTTAAAACTGGGTATAGAAACCAATGTTTGCGAAGTGACTGAGTGATTCACACTGAAGGAGGCTCCTTCCAGGTACTGGAAAGATCTCCTAATAGCTGCATTCAACCCTTTCACATTCTTAACATTTGATGCATTTTCCATCCGTGACCAAAGTCAGCCTTGTGAGCTTTGATCCATCCTTGTACTGAGCAAGGAGATGGAAGAATTCCACTTAGCATTTTTGATTGATCGTTTTCTGAAAAACAGCACAGCACAGGACAGTACTACCCACCCTAATGTGTCGCTATATACATTCTACGTAAGCTCTATAGCAATCACATGTAAACATCATTGTTGTGAGGAAATACTAGGACAGAAAAAGGCAAAGCTACAATGAGGCAATTGCCAATAGCAGATGCTCCAACCAGGACAGTGTTACCTGTATAACCTACGTTGGGATGAGAAGCCGGGAAAGTGCCCGTGACCAGATTTTACAGTAGGGTCATAAAGCGTTGTAATTACTCCGTGGGCTGGGATTGAAATTGCATGAAGAATATGCCGTATGAGGATTCAGTAAACCTACACTCAGGAACTGTAGTTCATTGGTAATTACCATGGAACTGGCAGTTTTTAGAGCCATGGGCTCTGCATCAAAAAACTGAGATAACCAGGTAGGATAGGACTGCATTCTGGTGCCCTCCACATGGTAAATCATACCTCACAGTACAAGCAAGTGCCTATGAAGTCAGTGGAGTAAGGTACAAGTCAGCATGAGGCAGGCACTCAGCATCTGATCCTGGGGAATTACTGAGCTGCTGGTTGTGTGCCCTGTAAGATGAAGCATTACCAAAAAACGGAAAATCAGTGCCATGTTCTAGGGGAGACCTCATGGGAATCTAATCTAGCTATTGGCAGAGTTAAGGCTATTAAATTCTATCTACACGGGGTGGCTGAACCCCAGTGGTCTCTCCTGCATGTGAAAAACAAACCAAAAATGTGGTGACAGCTTGAGGAGTCAGCAAAGGTATTTGATCCCCACTGTGAAGTGCTTCCTGTCTCTCGCTTTTCTCTAATGGACTGTCTCTCCCTGCTCCTGGAAACGGAATGGCTTTAAATTGTACAAGAGAACTCCATGGATGCTGCTGAACATAACAGTTGTACACCTTGAACACAGCACTCGTGACTGGCCTTGCATGGACCCCAAGATTGCAGGTCTCAGAAACCAGAGGCGAGAGCTGCAGTCATATGCCCAGCAGAGCTGCAGTGTCTCTGCCACCTGTACTCCGCCGGTCGGAAGCCTTGCCTGGGAGGTGGGAAGGGCTGAGAAGAAATGGCCAAGAGTTGTTGCGGGGGTGATGGGATCTTCCAGCTTCCTGGTTGTACTGGTAGGTTTATGGCTTATTCAGTACCAGTCAGAGGAGGGCAGCGTGCTGGATGGGACAGGGTTGTTCAACTTAGCTGCCATGTCCCTTGCTGTGCCGGCAGTCTCTGCCCTTGCTGCCAGAACTCACCCCAGTTTCCTTGCACATTGTGGAAGCAGTTGTGAGAAAGACAAGCCACTTAGCCCTAGCTCAGAAATCCCCGTGATAGAGCAGGAGAGTAGCCAGCAATGCTAGGCAGAGATTCTGGCTGATCATCAGTGTGGAGACGTGACCTCCCCCAGTGTGGGATTAATGTGCCTGCCAATGTATTGAGGGGTGACCAAGCTGTACCCCTTGGACAATCCTTCTGGGGAGACTCTGGGCTTCTGCTGTTTTCCCTCTCCCTGGCTCGGAAGGCAGGACAGTGCCTATACCCCATGGTGACTGATGCCATCCAGAGTGTGGCTGGCAAAGATTAACCCCTTGGCGACTGGTCTGATAGCTTTCTAATGCTACATTCTTGTAGCATTGGGGCAAAGCGGTGAAATTGTCTTCCCACAGTTCCAGAGGTGTGAGGTTTAGGCTCACTCTGGACTTGTGGCACAAGCCACCCCCAGTCAACCCAGCTGTTAATGGTACCTGGTCATTTAGATGATGATTCAGAGGCACCTGGACCTGATACTGGCAAGATCACTCTCTTGCATTTCACTGGCTACACAAACCAGTATGACTTAACCATGCTAGGTCACTGGGCAGCTGGACTTGGGTGGCCCTTTGATTTCCATCACTAATTCCTCGTAAATCCCCTTCCCCCGCCCCTACAAAGCTGCACCACTGTAGCACCGTGGCAGTTTCAGTTCAGCTTGTGCCAGACCATTCAACTCTTCACAGTCCAGCAGGCCTAGACAACCCCATGACTGGGGCAGGACTGGGGGCCCAACAGGCCCAGCCATGTAGGCAGGAAGCATGGCTTCTACAGCAAACTGGGATACCAAAACCCGACCTTAGAATGGTCCAGTCTAGTAATGTGCCAGGCTAGACGCTCCACACTCAAGAGGGCAGAGCCTGGCTGGGAGACTGATTTGTGGGCACCTTTCTGGCCTGACTCCATCTGCTCAGCGGCAAATGCCTCATTACAGTGCATAGTTAAAAATCAAGGAAGCGGTACAATAAATCTGAATTACAGTACATCTGAGCCATAAATACATTTTTAAGTATATACTTTTTTTTCCTCTTCTATTAAAAATTAGTTTATAATCCTGATTCTATTCACAATTAACAATTTCATCATCACACACTACGGACAAAAATGTTATGGTGAACACAGCTGCAACTCCACGACGGGAGCATTGGGGAAAGAGGGGAGAGATGGGGAGGGGCAGTAGTGGACAGAAGGCTTTTACAGGCTCACCCTAGAACAACCAGTCAGAAGCAAGGATACTGATGTGTGGCAGTGGGACATCAACACCATGGGGACTCACAGACAGAAGCAGCTTTGTTCAATGTAAACATCGATTGGAAGGGACAGCAGTCTCTCTCTCGCGCGTACTCTCGTTCTCGCTCGCTCGTTTTTTTCAGATACTTAGTAATTTTTCTTTGAAAACGTAAACATAGTGGAAGTGCCTTGACTGAGGTATTGAGGTGTTCCTCCAAGGTTAAGGCTGTTATCGATGCAGGCTTTGCTGGGCCTCCTGCAGCAGGCTGTCAAAATCCATGGTCTCATACTTGCTTTTCACTGGAGCTAGGGAGGACTCCTCCGCATTGGAATCTGTTGGGAGCAGGGAGAGAACACAACAGAGTCAGGGACACAGGGCACCGGCAGGGATTGTGCAGCGATGAAATGCTTTCTTCATGTCCAGTATTGTTACTTAAAGGTCTAAAGCATCCTTCTAGGAAGCAGGTGTTGTCCTCATTTATCAAAAAGGGTCACCAAGGCACCGTGTCTCACACACGTAGGATACTACATTAGTTATGTTCAGAGGCCTCAACTACTGGGGTCCTGTATGGTAGGTACTCTATAAACACATAGTGAGAAACTGTTCCTGCCCCAAGGAGGCTGAACAAGACAGGATGAAAAGAGGTGATACATTTTGCCCAGGCTCACACCACACAATTGAAAACTGGACCCTAGTCTCCTGAATGCTTGTCTCTAGCTTTGCCATGCTGCCCCCATGACTTAGGGACAGGAGCTGGGATTAGAATATGAGAATTCCAGTTTCCCAGATCCATAATCAGTCCTGCTGCCTACTCAAAAGAGCTGATGGATTTGAGGCTTCTGTTGGTTTAACTGACAGTAAAAAAAGACAGTGGGTGCATCTACACATGCATTAATGTGCTGTAACTATGGTTTGTTAAGTTTCATACATGTAATAACAGGTACTAACTTAATGCGCAGTAATTGGTGCTAGTGTGCAGTACTGCCAGTGCACATCTTTTAAGTGACGTTAATGCACAGTAGACGAATTCTACTGTTTATTAGTGCATTAGCATGGCTTTTGCTGTCACACATTAATGCGCAGCAGAATTAGTCTACTGCACTTTAAGTGTCTCATATAGATGCGCCCACTGACACTCTCCCAAAGATATGACAACAGCTCCCCATTTCTGCCTGAACCCCTAATGAATCTGGCAATAAAGGAGCTTGATTTCTCTTAGCTTTAACAGAGTACAGTGTGTGGTTCCCCTGTCCTGTAAAAAGCCTTCTCTTTTCAGCAAAGGAGAGGCATTTCTCCCTGGAAATCCTGGGCAATGACTTGTTTTCTGTTATAGGCTACTAGCAGTGCCTATAGTTAAGCTTGCTCACCACTTTGCACTAGAATACATTTTTTTTTTTGCTGCTGATTAGAACTTTGACAAACTTTAACCATTTGGACCGAAATGTCCCATGGTGGATGTCTGCCTCAGACTGGATTTTTTGGGGAAGTTTCAGCTAAACCAGCTTGGCTGTTTCTGAGAGCAAAAGTGAAACATAGTGTTTTGCCTCCTTAAGAAAACTTCTTGGAATCACTTTGCCGAGTGCTCCATGCTTTGAAGGATGGGCCTGAAATTTGGCAAATGATTAAGCTGGACCTTTTTCTCCTGCCTAACAAAAATTTGTCCAAATTTGGACATGTGATGAGCCTCTAACATTTTCAGTTCACTTGTATCCTGGCTAAGAGACAGGCAGGTAAATTCTTTGTTGAGTGAGTCTGCACTGAGCAAGCTGCAGCCCAGGGATGCAGGGGCTCAGCAGGACATTTCCTGCCACTGCTCCCCGTGGTTGTATACCACTGCTCTACGTTTCTGTATGCCAAAACTAAAAGGAACTCTTTTTAGCATTTTCAAAGATGCCCCTGCCAGTACTCAGGCAGCATGGAGGAACTGGCTGGCTCAGAGAAGGTATGAGGAACGGATTGGAAAGGATGGGGAGGGGCAGAGGAGCTGGTAACCACTGGACACGCTCTGCCACAAAGCCTGGAACTGAAGCCAGGATTCTCAACATTCCTTCACTATCTTGTCAATAGCTGTGAAGCCCACTGGAACGCGTCTCCACTGCTGCTATTGGCAGGTCCACATGTAAGTTAGTAGATTTCCTCTTCTGCTACTTACTTGGTGAGCCTGGTTGGTGGAGGACTGTGCTGTATGTGCCAGGCTCCCAACCCTGCTAAGGACTCACATTGAAGGTAGATATGGTTCCACCACACGATTAATTTTTCCATTAAAGAAAAGAAAACTTAAGAAACTACATATAAAGGTGCAGGGTCAAGCTGTGCCAGAATTCAGGTTGCCTATTCCTATGTCTCTGTTCTGAAGAGTGGATGCCTCTCCCTTGACAGCCTGAGAGGGCAGGGTCTCTTAGCCAGAAGTCCTTCTGAACCTCCCCTCATGCTCCTTGACATGTAGAGATTTCCCAGTGCTCATGTGCATCCAGGCTCTGGTTTTACATCATGACTAAAGAAACTGTAGGTCCCAGGGAAGTCTGACTGGGGCAATGCATCCAGTCTCCAAATGGCTGACTGAGCTGGCAGGTGACCCACATGGGAATTTTAGATTCTCCTAGGATGGTGATCTGTAGACTGCAGGGTTCCCAGTTTGATAGATTTAGGCACTGGCTTTTAAAAGGGGTCATGAACCTCCTTCTGCCCTAAGGCTCCCCAATCTGGCCCACCTGCTTTCTTACCCAAGTCAGTGTATCTGGTCCAGAAGAAATGCCTGAGACTACCATAGCTCAGCTGGAATGATGGCTCATTCCTTTTCCTCAGTGAGGCACCATTCTTCAGTGATAAGGCGGCATCTTCTGAACATCGGTAGGTGATGAAGCCGTATTTATCCCCCCTGAGCAAATGACAGCAATCAAGAAATGACTGGCCCTACACTTCCTTTCCATCCTGCTCTGCTGGCTTGGTCCAGCTCACCTTGATTATCTGCAGTCCTAACTCCCGCCACTCAGCACCCCATGGCTCTACCATCCTTACGCTCAAAATGCCACAATCTAACTGTGCAAGGTAACCCCTCTGAGTTAGCTTTAGGGGTTAAATAACAGTGTGGCCCAAAACTAGTGCCAGGAAGGAAGGAGGATGGGAGGTGTCTAATTTCCCAGGAGTTGAGAACTGCTTGAGACCAGATCCTAGTATGCCTATTAGGTTTCTAAGTGGAGTTAGGCACTTATGCGCAATTCTATTCCACCCTGTTCAAGTCCCTGAAAGCCCATGAATGCATCTATTTTTGTAACACACCATCATCTTAGGATGTGGAAAAGCCTGAGAGAGTCCAGAGAAGAGCCACTCATATGATTAGAGACCTGAAGAGCAAGCCATACAAGGAAAGACTGACAGATCTGGGACTGTTCAGCCTAGTAAATAAAAGATTTTGGGGGAGATTTGGTGGCAGCTTATAAATATATCAGGGGAGAGCATCAAGGGCTAGGCAAACAACTATTCACCAAAGCGCCCCAGAGGAAAACCAGAAGCAATGGTCATAAAGTCCTAGAAGAACATTTCAGACTAGATATACTTCCATGAAAAATTTCTACACGGTTTGCGTGACCAGACTCTGGAATAGACTCCCAGCGGGGTGGTGCAGGCATCTACCCAGGAGATCTTCAAAAGGAGACTGGACACATACCTTGCTGGAGTTATTTGACCCCAGCAGTCTTTCCTGCCCAGAGCAGGATGATGATCTCATGAGGTCCCTTCCAGCCCTAAACTTCTGTGAATCTATGAATCCTACCCTTAAGACTTAGTTACAAAAAAGCAGAGGGAGGAGGGAAGACGACAATACACCACCCACATTTTAATTAACTGTTTTTCAGGGACTTGAGCAGGGGTGGAACAAAATCATACTTAGGTGCCTATGTTCATTGCCCTTCCAAATAGGGGGAACAGAATCTGATCCTGTGTAATTTAGTTTACTGACTGCATCATGTGCAGAAACTGTATAGTGTGTTTCACTTCACCTCTGGTACTTTGTCAAGTCCCCTATCCTCCTCCACACATTCACACCCAAACAGAATATGCAGACAGTTCTGCTAACCCCTTCAAGTGCTGGGATGTGCTGTACGCACTGGGCTCAGTACCACATTTATATGTTCCAGTTTAACATGAGGGTGCCTCAGCCAGATGAGCTGCACACCCTGCATGCTCAGGCCATGGAGGACACTTCTACTGCTCAGTTTCTTCTGCACCTGCAGTGAGGCAGGTTCGAGCAACGCTCTAAAGACATACCTGTTTTTCCTGGTCAGGACCTGACACTCAATGATCTCGCCAAACACCTCAAAGCGTTTCCGCAGCTCGCTGGAGCTCATGCTGCTGGATAGGTTTCTGATGTACACCATCCGGCCTTCATTCTGTGCCAACACAACCAACACTGCTTAGGTGTATCCTCCTCCCAGACCTTCTTCATCTCTTTCCCCCTGCTACTGTCTTGGCACTATGCTGATGGATGCTGGTGAGTCACAATGCTGGACAGTGCTGTCATATTTCTAAGCACATGCACCATCAACCAAGCTAAAGCAGGGACACAGCCCTTCTGGGCAAGCAGCTCTCTCAGAACATATGTGATCCCTCTGCACTCCATTTTCTTTCCTTTCTTTCTTTTTACTATTCCTTCAGCCCTTACAGATTTTGCTTGTGTAAGTACAAGAATGTTATTGAGTATTCCTGAGAAAAACTTGCTGGGAATTTTACGTGTGTGTGCATGCGGGAGAAAGAGAGAGAGAACAAGGCAATACAGAAGAGCAATACAGTCCCCTCTCTCCACACATGCAAACATGCAGACTCTCCATGCATATCTGTTGTTCTTTATGTGCAGTGAGGCTTAGCTTAATAATCACGTAGCAATTTCAGGTATTCCCCAAATTCCCAACTCTAATTGCTAATTCCAAGTGAACTGTATCCCCTGACATAGGATGCTCTGGATTCCTCCCATGCCAAGGACTCTGTGTATTGCCAATCTCCAATTGCTTCCACTTTATTTTTTTTCCTATACCCTTGTTTAAAATTGGCTCTGCACCAAGGGTTGCTGAAGTCAGGGCCAATACGCTCTACCATCTCACTTTTGGAGCGCGAGATGAATGGAGGTCTGTGAAGGGCTTTATCTGAACATTTAAATGGGCTGCAGCAGGATGAAGCTGCCGGCTCCTGTTGGAAGTCATGCTGCTTCCGCCTCACAGGTAACTTACAATGGCCTTTTCTCTCTTCCTCTCCATCTGGCTCCGGCTCGCAGTTCCACCTTGACATTGCTCACCATTTTCACATCTGTTTATAAACAAGCAAGAAAGAGGGGTTGAACCTTGGATGGATGAGGGTCTTGCCAGGGGGCTTGGGAAAGCAAAAGGAAAATGAGACACAATTGAGTTTACAGGATCTGGCACCAGTTTTGAACAAACAACTTAGGATGCTCTGGTGGAGCTGGTTCCACTGGAGCTGGGTGTGGAGCAGCCAGGGAAGGAGCTGGTTTTCCAAACCAAACTGAGCTTCTCTAGGACTTGTTCTAGCATTTAAGACACAGCATAATTTCCTGTTCCCTGGAACAGCCCTACCCTCCCCAAACACTGACCATAACCTCTCCACCATCTAACTCAAACAGGTCAAGCATTAGCTCAGCAATTTTAAGAGGCTGGTGATGCAGTGCCATTTATTTTCATGATTTTTTTTATGTACAGAATCAACCAGGGAGGTGAATTAATGGGAATTTTCTTGCTGTTGGGCTGGACTTTTGGAAGGAACTCAGATCAATGTGCAATTGGCACTGTGGAGGCATTCACAGCTAACCCTGAACCATCTGGTATTTTCGGGCTGATGTTAGATGCTGAACACCTGTGTAGCCTGTGGCAGTGATTGCTTGGATTTAGTCCATGGGGGAGGGCAGAGCCTTTAGAAAATAGTAGGATAGTTTTGTAAGGTAGTATTTTCATTGGGTGTTCATCTCAGGGAGGGTGGGGTCCTCACGTCCATAATACTGATAGGAGACAAACAACACTCAGCCTGTCTACAGCCACTGTGTCTCAGCTGAGGATCTCAGTGCTGTATGGAGCATTTTGCATTTTCCTCACTTGACAGATGGCTCCATGCCTCTGTTTTCCCAATGGAGTGACCTGCCCCACAGCACCAGAAGTGGAGTAGACAGCCCATTCCAGCATGCTATTCACCAGCCACTCCTCCAGCCCAAATATGAGCCCCCCCAGGGACTTCTATTCACTTGTGGCTAGCTTGTGAGTTAGGATCCGACAACTGCATCCCTCCCTTCCTGCCAGCTGCCCAGTTGTTACCTGAAGGCCCGTCTGTTTGCTGGAGACCTGGACCTGCAGCACGAAGACCCGGAACTGGATCTGCTCCGGGAACAGTGGTGTATACTGGTCCTGGCAAGTGGGTTCCTCCGCAGACACAACTTGGATTCCAGTGGACTCTCCCAGTGCTCCTCCTCCTCCTCCTCTTCCTCCTCATCCTCCTCTTCCTCCTCTACCGGGGACCCGCTCTCACTGCAGCTGTCCTCGAAGACGGTATCATAATCAAGGGTCTTGCAGGTCAGATACTCATCCTCAAGGGCACTGTCCAGAAAGCCAAAGTGCTTGGTTAAGCTGGCTCTGATCTCCTGGTCTCTAAGTTGTTTAGTACCCTCCTTCCACAAGGCCTGGCCATTCTCCTCCTTGCTGCCCTGGACAAGTGCCTGGTAATGTGTATCTGGCACCCTTCGCTTGTGTTCACTTGCTGTGTGGCTCAGGGGCTCCCAGGACTTCAGCACCTTCCACTGGAGCACAGCCTCTGGTTTCATTACTTGGCAGTAGTCGTGGTCCCCGAAAGAGCGAGAAAATGGGCGTTTCAGCACTCCCTGCTGCTCTAGGGTAGGAGGACACACAGCAGCGCGGCTCAGGTGGGCATAGAGCTCTGTCTGTTCTGGGTGCTTCTTCAGGAGTCTCCTGGAGGTCGCTGTGTCTGCTGCGGCAGTCCTTGGCCCCGGAAGGGGAGGGAGGATGGCTGCTTTCTCCTTTTCTGGCCCATGGTGAATGTCTGGCTTATACAGGTCCTCCTCAGCAGGCTTGTATGGCGGAGTGGTAGGCGGTGTGAGACCTTAAACCCCCAACAAACCACAAGAGTAAAACCCTTTGAGGAGGTTTCCTGCGGAGGCAGTATGACTTTGTGCCATGTCAGCACAAGCTAGATCAAAGTGATCCTCATGAAGGCTACCCCCACACAACCTAGTTGTAAATGGTACCTGGCCTTTTGGGCTTGGGAATCAAAGGGGGATGGAGGTGATGCTGACCTCACCACTCCCTTAGCAGTTAAGATGGAAACCACCCACGTATGCCCAGTAAGCCATCTCAGCTTGGACAACTTGGGGTCAGATTTTTCCCCCCACATGTCCTGAGGGAATCCGAACAACAAAGGGAAGGGAGCATGGCCTCTTTACATGAATGGCTTACCTGCTGTCCCACACAGCTCTACAGTTAGCACTTGCTCAAAGTTCCTCTTCCCAAATGTAGTGTCACTAGAGAGAAGAAAGTTAGAGGTGGGCAGGTGTTAAGATGCACATCAGAGAAAAAAGCACTCTAGTCAGGTGCTGAAAAACCTAGCCTAAGGACACATGCAAATACAGAAAAAGATGAGGGAATGCAACCAAAGGAGCATGGCAACTCTGAGCCTCTCCAAATTAAGGCAATGCCTGGAGGGACTAGAAACCCAATGGAGATACAGGAACAGGCAGCTAGCAGCAAACTCCAGCCAGTGCCAGGAAGAGGAGATGCCCTTCCTGCCTTCTCCCTAGCAGGCAGCAATAGCTTGCCCTGAGTCTGAAGGCCTGATGCGATGCCATTATGCAACAAACAAAGGCCACAGTTTGTGACATGCGTCTTCCCTTCTGCACATCCCCTATTAGCCTGTCTGTTAATGGACATCTAGTCTTAGAATCAAAATGTGTGTCCCCAGTCAGGGTGAGCTCATGCTCATTTTCAAGATCTGCTGAGCCAGCCTGGCCCCAGCATGCATACTTTTCACTGAGGGGTGTTTAGTTTTGCACTTACGTTTGTGTCAAGGACAGCGCAAGACACCTGGGTGTTTCTGAAAGACAGACAGAGAGAGAAGCAGG